TGGCGTATAATAATTTCGTATGTATCAAGTAATTAAATATGATAGATACGACTAAGGGAATCACATGGAATCATTGAATAATGAACTCTCCTTCATCGATGACGAGGAAGGAATCAATATATCGTAAGTCCAATGGATGCCCAAGACATAGATCTGGATTTGTTTGCACTCGCAACGTTTTGTTACGATTGATCTGATTGTATAAAGTGATTTTTAGTAGATGACCATCGACGGTTACAAGTTTTAAACAAGTTTCAAAAGATTGTACGAGTTTTTGAAGTTTTCATCGGCAACCTGATATTTAAGGAAGTATAACTAACCTAAGTGGGGGCAATAATCAATGACCTAGCTAGCGGTATAGGAGCCAACTCGGCATCAACGACTTCGTGCCGCACTGGAGTTATCCAATATATGGTTTCGCACGATTTTGACATGTGTATATCTAGAATTCAACTGAATTTATCAAATGAATAAAATATTATTTGAAATATATAACGTTTTATTTCATTTATAATTTAATACGCTTTTATATAATAAATACTAAATAAAGAAAATATTAGATATTTAAAAAAAAAAAAAACGGGTCTTACATAACTCGTTAACACAATAGGTTGCCATTAACTGATTAAGTAACCATTAATTATAACCAAAACTAAACCGATTCAACCCATTTTCATTTCTAGTTATGGTCGTATTCAAGTTTATAAAATTTAACCATAAGGGTGGTGTTTGATTGGTTTGAGATTGAGCTCTAAAGATCAAAAGTGTTTGGAGGTCTCAGGTTCAAATCTAAGGAGAAATAAAAATCTTCTTGTGGCCACGAAGGTTCAAATACGGTAACTCCAGACTACCAGCAAAACAGGTGGTCGTTTCAAATATGGCGACTCCGAACTACCTGTAAAACAGGGGGTCGCTTTGAGATTAATCAGCTCGTATAGCGAGTTGACATCGAGGTTAATAAAAAAAAGTTTATGAAATTTATATTTTTTAAATTAGTTATTATGTATGAACGGCTCAATTGCATCAAAAAAAAAGTAATTCACTTTTATAAACTTTATACTTTTATAAATTTATATTTAAAAGATACTTTTAGAGTTCATGATAATGAACGCCAGAGTTGGAAAGAAAATCTAAAGAAGTCAAATGGCTTCTCGTGATAGATAAGGACAAAGGACAAAGTTCATAGAAAGAATGAGGTTGTTTGTTTTTCTCTTAATAGTTTTATTAAGAGGCAACATCTGAATCGTTAAGAGGTGAATCTTGTTTGGTAAAAAAAAATATGTTTCTTAATGGTTCTAAAACCCTCTGAATGATTTTGTAACCTGAATATCCCTTAACCATTAAGAGCCCTAATTTCGTTGTACACAATTATCAAATAATTATATTTCATTTTGCATTATATCATGAGAGCCTATTAATCATTCTGACCACTTAATCATTCTGTACCAAACCATTTAGTAATTGCCAAACAACCCCGAAACTTCATAAAATTGAATTTGGTAGAATTGTAATATATAAAAAAAACGTTTACTTTAAAAGAATCGCAATTAATTTAATCACGCGTTTAATTGGTAGAAATTAGAACGGAATCTTGCAAAACAAATGGAATACAGGTGGGATGGGGGTCGTGAGAATGGTGGGTGGCGGTGTGATGGTGATAGTAGCAGCATGGTGGTGGTGGTGGTGGTGGTGGTGGTGGTGGTGGAGGGGTGGGCGTAGGGAGGTGGTGGTTGTAAAGAATTTGTCATTCCAATCCCATCAAATTTTTTCGAATTCTGCGAACCAAACAATCTCTCATACAATGTTAAGGTCGTGTTTCGTATTGCCCGATTGTATTGGATTTGAGAAATTGAATTCTATTCGAATCCAACGTCTGTTTTGAAGGATTTTATGGATTTGAAATCCCGGATTTCATTGAAATCCCGGATTTCATTGAAATCCCACAGGGTGGTTGGTATTTCGTAGGATTTCGTATGCATAAATGTTTTTGTCAATATTAAACATTTGTTTTGTAACAATTAGTTAATAAAACGATGATTTAATTATTTTTATAATTTATTTTTTAATAATGAAACATATTTACATTCCAAATTTCAATAAACCAATCACACGAAATATTCAAATCCTTCCAAATCCCTTCAATTTCAAATTCTTCCACGAAATCTAAATCACTCAAAATTATTCCATTAAACCAAACGCCCATAAATGTAATTTTGTCTACTAATATCAAGACTTACTTTTACATTTTCAATATATGATTTGATCTGAGTATGACATAAACAAGGGTGCATATAACAACATTCGACAATTGTGGATTTGATCATGTTAAATCAAAGGACCATTTTTGTTTTTTGTTTTTTTTTCCAATAAAAAAAGTAAAAACAATATTTTTATACAGGAAAAGTTAAAAAAAACTCAACAAACTTTCTTATTTTATATGGTTTAATGTCTAAACTATTTTTTCAAATGAAAAAAACCATTAAACTTTCTCATTTTGAATGATTAAGTTCTTAAACTATTTTTTTAAATTAAAAACCATTAATTTTTTTATTTTGATTGATTAAGTCACTAAACATTTTTTTAATAAATACAACATGACATTTTCAAACATTTTTTTTAATAAATACAACATGACATTTTCAAAAATTAGTTACCTACATTCTTTTAACCCAAAAAATTACATTAACCGACTACTAAAAGTTTCATGATTTATTTATTTATTTTTAAAAAAATCATGGTCTTAATCATTCAAAATCTGAAAATTTAATGGTTTTTTCATTCAAAAAAATAGTTCACGTATTTAATCAATCAAAATGAAAAAGTTCAATGATATTTTCATTCAAAATATAGTTTAAGGATTAAACCATTCAAAATGAGAAACTTTGTTGATTTTTTTTTGTACTTTTACATTTTTATATACACACAAATATATATTATATATATATATACATATATATATATACATATATATATATATACATATATATATATATATATATGGAGAATCAAACAAGAATGATACCTATTTAAAATAATACGAAAATAATTTTAAGTCAATCATTTCATTAAATAATATCTTCAATAATTAATTCACAAAAAAGATATAAAAATAATTTAGTTATATAAAAGCTATTTAAAGTATTTACTTAAGATTTTATTCTTACGTATTTATAATTTTAATATGATTTAATTTTTTATTTAAAACAATATTTTATATTTAATACATTTTAAATCGGCTGTATTTAGTTTTTTATTTAAACAATTCATTTGTTAAAGCAATATTTTAAAAATTAAAGTTTTTTTTTTGTTAAAATCATACGTGATTCACAATTAATTAATTTTTTTCATATATCAATTAATTAATATTATATATAACTTACATTTCTTTTATATCATAATCAATATCATATATGATATATTGACGGAAATTAGCGATTCTATTTTAGAAAAAAACGTCGATTAATTATGGATATTACATGTGATTTTTGATAAAAATTGTAAAAAAATCTTAAATAAAATACTTCAATAAAATGAATATTTTAAATAAAAAACTAAATCACACTTATTTAAAATATTTTAAAAAACAATAACTAAATAAATAATCATGTTTAAATCACGAAACTTATAAATAAATAAAAAATCATGAATAAGTACTTTAATTAAATTTATTAAATAATTTTTATATAAATAAATAACTTTCCATATATACTCTGTATGTAACAGATGTCATATATGTCATTTTGGATGATTTTTAAAAAAAAATTATTTAAAATATTATTTAATAAAATGATTGTCACAGAATTATTTTATTATTCTAATAAATAAGTATCATTCTCGTTTGTCAACATGTCACAACTTTCACATAATATAATAAACATCTACAAGACTACAACATATCAGTAAATGTGACATGAATGTTATCATTATCACACGATATAACATAATACTATAATAAAATGACACATTCAGGGGTTATTTATCAAAACATTTATCAGATAAAAGTTTATCAGCAAAAGCATAATTCACACTTACCATATAGGGTAACATTTTTTTCCATCAAAATTAACATCCACCTATTTGATCAACTAGTGGAACAAGTGACGGGACCCAGATTTTTAGCGGGTGCACATTTATTGAATCAAAAGCTTGTAAAGTTGCTCGATTTGTTATTAGCTGAATTCCACCGTTTCGAAGGAATTTTTAAGCTTTTCAGTTGAATTCAAGAGAATTTTACGTTTTTTGGTTGATTTTAAGAGGTTTTTCTTAAAAAATTTGGTTGATTTCAATTGATTTTCGGTCTTTTTGGTTGAACTCGAGAGAAAATTGTCAGTTTTTTGGTTGATTTCAAGAGAGTTTTTCAGTTTTTTTGGTTGACGTTTCTTACATTTTCTAATATCAAAAAAGCTTCGCTCAGAGTTTAATGAATCCTTACTCGAACACGAGTTTAATGGGTCCATGTTTTTACCCAATTTAAAGGGGATTTTTCATCACTAATTGATACATGCTCTCTTAGTATTTTTTTATTAACTTGAATATCCAAGCCGCTATGCAAGTCTACTAATCTCAGGACAACTACTTGCTTTACAGATAAACCAGAGTCACCGCCTTTGAACCTTCGTGGCCATAAGAGTATTTTTATTACTTATTGGGTTTGAATCTGAGACCTCATGGTACTTTTGACCTTTAGAATCAAGCTCAAACCAATCAGACACCACCCTTGTGGTTTATGCTCTCTTAAGTTTATCGCTCATATCAATGTCTTGTATTTCTTTAATTATTTGTTTGATTCTTAGAAGCTCAAAATCAGATAGTAAAAACAGTTACCCAAACAACAAACATATATCTTACTTAAGATAACCAAAAGCTATTTTAACTCATCAACTGTAATCCTTGGTCTTCTAGGAGATCAAAAGTTCAAACATCATCAAATATAAAGAAGGTACGTAAATTTATTTGTTGCATTTATCGTGTATATATACTTTTAAAAAAACAAACAATAATAAAATAAAACCCAAAACCATATTATTAAGATAGACGGTTGTGGTCAAAAGGTGGTGGTCCAATATGGAAAGGTGGTGCACCCGTAGTGGACCAGAATCTGGTGCTAGTGCCAACCCCCTTTAATAATTCACATAAAAACCAACCATTTTCTCAAAATTATAACTCATTCGTAAATTAAATTCACAGCTTAATTGCATAAAAATGACTCTAATCTCGTTATCATCGATTCTAGCCTCGAAAAAGTGTCCAATTCCTCCATTTGTTTAGTTTTTGGTTGTAGAATCGTCGATCGGATGCCAATATCGATTGAAAAACGTCACCGAGTCGGCTCGAACGGCAAACCCGTCTGCATTGCGGTGCCAACCATAGTAAGCATGTGTCCGATTCTTGATCTCTAACATTGCGTGACCAAAACTCGCTTCTCGGAATGCCGAGTACTTTGGTTGCGGCATCGTCATACTGCATTTTCGTGGAGATAGAACATTAGGATGGATTCGATTACCTTTTTCCACTTGTTTAAATTCCGATAAAATAATATTCGGATAAATGTGAAAAACCATCGAGATTCGAAATTAATCTCACTTGTTTGCTAAGCCTTCAATGTTTCCACCATCGCCGATGGTTATATATACGGGGGCGGATTGGTCGTGAACCGGAGTGCATTCCCCGTTCACGATGTTATAAGCAATATTCGACACACGCTCCTGCATAATAATTTGACAAAATTAAAAAACAAAAACACCCGCAATACCTCATATATGTGCAACGCTATAACCCAGTTCTGATACCATGAGAAGATATATGGAACCCCTTTAGATTCCGGGAAATTTACAGAAATAGCCAAAACTCACGGGTGGTTTCACTGTTTAGCCATTTTCTGACCTAAATTCACTTTTTAGCCAATCCTTACGTGCTTGCACATATACATAAGGATTGGTTTTTGACAAAAAAAAAAAAAAAAAAAACAGAATCCTTAAGCATATGCGTAAGGTTTTCTGCATAAGGATTCTACTATAATCTGGTTTATAGCGAAATCTTTAAGCAGAAAGGTTACACATATGCGTAAGAATTCTGTTTTGGTTTTAAGAGCTTACCGAGCGTTCATAAGCATGAACGTGACCAGCAAACACGAGATCGACTTTGTATTGCACGAACCACGGCTCAAACATGACTCTCATGGTTTCACCTTCCATGTAATGGTAACTGTTACTATTGTACCATGGCGAATGCATGAGAACAATCAACCACGGTGTTTCACTTCTGTTCACCTTCGGTAGCTCTTGCCAGAGCCATTGGTATTGCGGCGTGTACATACCTACACACAAGAAACCGCGTTATATAAACCAAACTGATTCAAACAAACCCAGTATATCCCGCAGCCCTAGGCGGGGCCTAGCAAAAGACATGTTTTTTCATAAAGTTATTAACTTTGAATCATCAAAAAAGCTCGAGAACCGAGTTTGTACCGTAAGCCGAGTACGAAGACAATACGATAATGTATGCGGACGCCCGCTTGATCGAATACCAAAGTGGATCCGTGCTTCCGGATGCTTGAAAGGGTGTCCGATACCGATGAAGAAAGGGCTTAAATGGCTTCTTTTCACCCTGCATCAAAAATTCAAAATATGTCAACAACAATTTTGAATTTTCCCGCATAATTTCTTTGATCAGAATCGTTGTTTCTTCGATGATTGATCTGATTTTGAACGAAATCGAATGAGCTACTTACGATACTGGGCTCGTAATCGAGCTCGTGATTGCCAGCGGTCCAAATCCATGGCTGAAACGCCGTACTCCGTTCGACGAACCTCCCCCAAGTGTCCCATCTCCTATTGTCATGGAACTCATAGTGATCGGCATACGACAGATCGCCGACATACAACACGGCTTGCCCTTTCACCGGGTTCATTTCATAATGCGTAAGTGTGAGATTTGAATCGTAAGTTTGGCCAAGATCCCCTGCACAAATTCCGGTCATTTTCCTGCTGATCACCGGAAATACATCGAGATAATTCGACTTAAAGGCTTACCGATGAGTCCGAAAGTGTACGGAACATCAGGTCCGACGGCCGGAGGAGTTCTGAACCAGAACCTCCTTACCGTTGGACGGGTTCCGATCTCGTAATAGTACTTTGTATCAAACTGCATTAAAACAAATTCAAATTAAACCATGGGTCGAAATTTAAACAATCGAATTCGAAATCCTACCTTCAAATGCTTGATGGTGCAATGATGAATGAATCCAGATGTGTAGTTATAATACTTATAAATAGTGACCCTGGCGGTGGCGTGGTGTTTCCGGTGGCTACGTGCGGCCCAATAAACGACGGTTTCAGAACCAGGTTCGTTTTGAGTCACCCAAGACACTATCACTGCTCTTCCCACATGATCCCCTTGAGTTATATGCACCTGCCATTAACGCACAACTTTCAAAACTTGAAAGCACAAAATACAATCAAAACGTTAATGGGGTTTTAGGGTAAAGCAAGAGTACTACCTGCTGAGGAGCATTGTAGCCAGAAGGAAGAGCGAATACATCACTATCGAAAGGCATATCGATGGATTTAGCTTCTTTCCTAAGAAAAGAGCTTGTAATTCCGCCATTGCAGAATGAAGCTCCAGTTAAGATTAGAAGAAAGAAGCAGATCCGAAACCCCATTTGAGGAATCGAAAACAGAGGAGATGGTGATGGATTTGAGAAGAGAATGCATCGTATATAAAGGGGGAGATGAGATTGAACCTTGAAGTCAACAGATTTAGAATTATATTCGGAAGATAGATATCTAATCCAACAAATCGTACGAGAATATATTTTATTTTTGGTTTCAGAAAAGACGCCAAAATTATCTCAAAAAAATGGACATAAATTTGTTTTGAATGGGATTCCAAACTCAGCCTCCAAATTAAATAAAAAGGTAAATTTGGTTTTTGTTGCTTAGTAAATCACTCTCATTTATTATTAGGTACAAGATAAAAAAGGGGAAAAAATTGAAGAGATTCCCACTCATTTAAGAAAAAAATTTAACCGACGGATTAAATCTGGATGTTTTTGTAAATCATGATGGTCATCTAGTAATTTAGAAATTGTAGAGTGTGATTGGTATACTGGATATGACATGACATGACATAACAGAACATGGATCTCTTTTCCACATTCGACGGTACCTTTATGTGGACACACAGAAACATAGTTGATCCTTATCTTATGGAACATGATGGAACGAACATATCTATATTATATTATAAAATATTTGACAAAAACTCTTAAATACCATTTTTTATATACGAAGTATTGTTTATTGATGCATATTACTTAAAATTCAAGATTACGAGTAATTTTGCGTAAGTACAACTTATTAAAACTTAATTTTTAAATTCGTGTAACTATCTACTGATAAACATAATCAAATATATAATAAATATTTATTTTAAATATAGAAAATCTAATCTATACTATATTATAAAGTATTTGACAAAAACTTTTAAAAATTATTTTGTATGCATGCAGTACTGTTTATTATGCATATTACTTAAAATTCAAGATTACAAGTGATTTTGCATAAGTATAATTTATTAAAACTTTATTTTTATATTCGTGTAACTATATATAGATAAAAATAATCAAATACAGGATAAACATATATTTTAAATATATAAAATCTAAAATATAATAAAGTATAATAAAGATAATTATTGAGTTGTAACATATTGTTTAATTATTTTCTTTATAAAAAATTATATAATTAAACAAAAAATTGATTACTTTGTTATTAAATCTAAATTAAATTATAATAAAAAATTGAATTAAAGAAGTTACACCAAAAAATGAGAACTATTAAATAGTTAATTTAATACTAATATCGATTTTTTTTTTCAAATTTTGATTCTATCTTTAAATTTAGATTTCATCCAAAAATAAAAACATTATCGTTTTCTTAAAACTATATAAAATCGTATTATATCGATAGAGACAAAATAAAAACTAAACATTAAAATAAAAAATTATATTGCTGCATTGCGCGAGTACCTTTCTAGTTTTTACCAATATAACCTCAAAATAAAACTTAAGTTTCTTATAAAACATCAAATAGGTCACTTTTTTTTTACATTTTATACAATCTTTAAATTTTATTTATCGTATTTTATTTTTTTAAACTATTATTTTACTGTCCTCAAAATACTATTTATACACAATTTCTATATTTATATTAGTTTGTGTAATTTATTATAATAATAAAAAACAATATAGAAATTGGAAAGTATATAAACTTTTTATTTTTGGTATCATTTTAATTGTTTTGAGAAAACTTTCTAATAACATTTTTTGTTATAAAAATTATTATTTTATTATAATTTAATAAATTACATAAGTTAATCAAAATATAAAAAAAACTCATTATGTGTAAATTGATCATTTTACTTAGTTTTATTTAATTCTATCTTGTCAAACGTTGAACAATTATTATATTATGTGTTTTTTCATGTTCTGTCATGTTCTATTATATCTGGAAATCAGACGCACCTGTAAAGGCAAAAAATATTATTTTTCACAAACTACAATTACCAAATATATATTTTAGTAGAAACAAAAACAAAATTTCCATTTATTTTGAAAAAAACGATAATGTTTTTATTTTTAAATAAAATATAAATTTAAAAAAAATTGATATTAGTAGTCAAATTAACTATTTAGTAGTTCTTTTTTCTTTGTGTAACTTCTTTGATTTAATTTTTATTATAATTTAATTTTGATTTAATAATAAAATAATGATTAAAACGTATA